CTTTTTACTTTTATGTAGAAACCACTGGATTCTGAGCTCCCAACAAGGCACTAAAAAAATACCTGTTCTATTTTCCAGAATATTCTTCAGCCTCTTAAGAGAAGATCAAGATATTCAGGGAATAAAATATATTTAGGCAGGAAACAAGGAAAAAGGAAATGGAAACCACTCTTACCTGAGCATAGGTTCTTGAATATTTCTTTCATGACATCTTTGTAGAGGTTCCTCTGAGAAAAATCCAACAAAGTCCACTCTTCCTGGGTAAAGTCTATGGTCACATCCTCAATAAGCACCGAGTCCTAAAACATTAAATAGTCTAGATCAGCAACTTATCATCTTTCCTAAAGTGTGGAAACTGGAAGGGTGTGGCTGGCATTAAACTGAGCACAAATTTCACTATTATTTCCATCTTCATTATGATGCTGAGAACTCGAGTATCCTACTAGCTCTTCACCTCATTCCAATACAGGTGGTTCAAATCTACCAGTTGCTCTTTAGAAAAAAAGAGATGAAATCTCCAGGGAAATTTATACATTCTGGCAACCCTTTGTAGGGTCAGCTATGAGTCCTTTTGTCATTTTCAATTGCATCCAATGATGTTGTTATGTGCCATCAAGCCACCTATGACTCATAATAACCCGATATACAGCAGCTCTGCAGCCTTCTCTATCCTGAGCAAATCTCAATGACTCTGACATGTCTCCATCGCCCCAGTGGATGTATCAATCCATCTCATCCAAGGCATGTCTCTCCTGTGCCGTCCCTTCACCTTTCCAAGCATGACGTCCTTCTCCAAGGACTGGTCCCTCCTGGCCATGTGCCCAAAGTATGTGAGATGGAATTTCAAAATCTTAACCTCCAAGGAGAAACTTAATTTCACCCTCTCCAAGACAGACCTACCTGTTCTCTTGGCAGTCCATGGTATGTTCAAGACTCTTCTCTAGCACCCCAATTCAAAGGCTAAAATTCTAGTACTGTCATCCTTGGTCATTGTACAGCTCTGTGATGCATAACAAGTAACTGCAAAGTCCATGGCTTGGGTCACATGCATCTTGTTCTCTAGACTTACATAACTGCTTCTCCGTACTCTGGAGAGGTCTTCGACAATAGATTTTCCCAGTGCAATTTGTCTTTTGAAGGATATTTTTTTTAAATGTTTAAGGTGCAGAAATACCAAGATACATAAAAACAGAAGCAAAACCCTCTAAATATCAAAGATCAAGACATAGTCAAATCATGTCTTTGAAAAAAAAATCCCAATTTCACTAACTTGCAGAAAACCCAACATGAAAATAGGCACAAAGTAAAAACAAAATAAGATATAACTCATAGACAAATAGTGAAGGACGGATGGGCAATTTGAACTCTGCTTGAACATAAAAAGTGCTATCAAAAGGAAAACTGTTTTCCTATACTCCTTCAGACTCCACTTTGAGGAGAAACCTCTTCCTCAGCCAGAGTGTGAGTGCCTTTAATCGTGAAAGCCTCATTTCTTGGCACTGTATCAGGGTTTTGCTGGTATCGAGCAGAACTTCAGAACCCATTACTCAGAATAAGTAGTTAAGCTTGCTTCCTCTTCTATCTTTAGTCTGTAAGTTTAGCTAAGATCTGTCTACCATAGGGACCCTGATGGTCTATAAAACATGGGCAAAATCACTAACATCACAGTAACACACAAGTCAGCACAGTATCACAAACTTTTGACACACGACTGGTTCCATCAATAAATGGAGCGTGGAATATAAGAAGAAAGAACCTAGGAAAACTGGAAGTATCAAAACCAGAAGACAACATAAAGACCAGGATCTGACATTTGAGTCGCAATGAACTGTAGTGACCATTCTGAGTCAAACAATCAGGATCCACTTTTCTGGGAAGGGCAAACTGAATAAAAGAGAAGGGAGCTCTCGAGGCCTAGTGATAAGAAGTTGCACTGCAGTTCCTAAGACATGCGGTTCAAATCTACCAGCTGCTCTGAAGTAGAAGGAAGGGCAATCTCCCCTGCCGTGATTTCATGCCTCTGAAAAGCCCCTAGGTCAGCTACAGGATGGTTCGGACTCTATGGCACACAACAATATCAAAAAGAGTATTTCAAGATCTGTTCCGACATATAAAGCTGTGAGTGATTTCACACGATCCAGGAAGATACAGCAAAACTGATTAATACGACTATTATTCAAAATGGAGAATGTCTATTAAATTCTGGAGTCTGAAAAGGATTGAACATGTATTTGAGATGCTTACAATAGAAACAATGAAGAACAACTAATAACTGGAAAACAGTGCGCTGGTGTCAGAAAATAGGCTGGATATCGAATGACTGACTTTTGTAGGGCCAAGGGCGAAATCATTACCATACTCTTCTTGCAAACAACAGCAGCACAAACTACTCACATGGCCCTTAGCTGATGGGATACCCTCAATCTTGGAAAGTGATGGTGAACGAGCACATACATTTCTTGCAGAAATACAACTAAGAACCAAGAGTAGAAAACATCAACAATCACATATATAAGCTGTGATTAAAATAGCAAAAATTTAAAAAGTACCCAACAGCTAAAATATAACATTAAGCATGTCCTATAATTATTCGAGAAGCTTGACTCTATGAAGAGGAGTGTGGCATCAGGACTGGGGGGAGACTCATCAATAAGCTGCGTTATACAGATGACACAACTTTACTTGCTAAAAGTGAGAATTTGAAGCACTTGTTGCAGAAGATCAAGGAATCCAGCATTCAGTACATATTGAAGCTCAAGATCAAGAAAACAAAGATTCTTACCACTGGACCAATAGACAGTGTCATAATGGATGGAGAGAGATTAAAACTATCAATAGCTTCATCTTGCTTGGATCCACAATTAATACCCTTGGTAAAAGCAGTCAAAAAATAAGGAGATACATTGTAATGGGAAAATCTGTAGTTAAGAGACCTTTCAAAATTATTGAGAAGTAGTGATGTCAGTTTGAGGACTAAGGGGCATCTGATTCAGGCTATGGTCTTTCTGATTACTAGCTATGCACCCGGAACCTGGTAAATCAACAAGGATGACAGGAAACTTTGAACTGTGGTGGTGGAGAAGAGCACGGAGCATCCCATGGACGGCCGGCCAAGAGAACAAACAGATATGTCTTGGAGATGGTGCAGCCGGAGTGCTCTTTAGAGGCAAGAATGATGAGGCTCTGCCTCACATACTTTGGACATATTGCTAGGAGATGCTATTCCTTGGAGAAGGATATGATGTTGGGAAGGGTGGAGGGTTGGCAAAGGAGAGGAAGACCCTCAACCAGGTGGATTGACAAGGTGACTGCTGCAATGGGCTCTTGAGTGTCAGGAAATGTGAGGATGGCACAGAACAGGACTAGATTCAGATCTTTTGTTCATGGGTTCACTATGGGTCGTACTCACCTGGAAGGCACCTAACAACACCACCACCTCAATTCAAAGACCATTTGAAGAATAGGATTCAAACAATAAAACAGGAAGTATCATAAGGTAAAAAGGACAACAGAAGCAATGTCCCAAAAAGGACTTAGTCAACATCAAACCATTTCATCAAGCACAATATGACCAAGCATCACTGGTCAAGTAGGCCAGACTAATTAGTTTTTCCTCACAGTAACTCTAGAACTGTTTTCCAGGGAAATTTTAAAATTGCACTGAAAGCATACTAACACTTTCAAAAGAAGATGGGAGTCACAAACAGAAAATCAACTGATGTGTTTCCACAAATAGATACAGCCTTGAACATGTTCACTAGTTTATGATAAGAAATATGGAACACAGACAGCTATCCAACTCAGTGGAAGAGATCCACATTTGTATCTACAAAAAAGAGGTGAAGCATCAGAAAGTGGGTATGTTAGAACAAGATCATTAATAATGCACATGAATAAAGCCTTGCTGGAGAGAACGAAAAAGTCATCCCTTGAGAAAAAACTACCACAATTTCGAGAAGGATTCTGTGGACCTCAAGGAAGAGGGATACAGAGTATACTCTGTGATGATGACCAAGCTTCAAACCACAGAGATGCAATCTCAAAAGAAAACCTCAAGCATGTGTCCTCTGAGGACTCAACAGCTAACCCCAAAGACACCACCTGGGAGGCCAACTGCAGGTGTCTACTGATTTGCAAAATCTCTCTGAAGACAACTCCACATTTCTCTTTTATAAGTGCTGAATAAACAGGACAGCCTTCCCACACCCTGAACCTTGCCTATAAATGTCTCCCCTGATCCCTTACTTTAGCCCTTTACTCCTAAATGCTGATATATACAGTTTCTGCCTTCTGTCCCCCAGATTGGTTTGCTCAGTGGCAGGAGGGGGAACGATGGATTTTCAGAAAAATAGTAACCAAAGTATAGGGTGAAATATTTGGAAACTATTGATGAGCTACCAGGGTTACACGACCTAGAAGAATGTTTCATCTAACCCTGGTATGTCCACTTGCTGTGCAGACGTAAGTCGTGGTTAACTGGGGTAATCAGGATGGGTGTGTCGGAGGCAGTGCGGTTGGCGCAAGATAGAGCAGGGTTTAGGGCTGTTGTGCATAGGGTCACTATGAGTCGCAAACGACTCGACGGCACATAACAACAACATGGTGCACAGTGTTTGGTGAAGCTCTCCGATTCAAACAAGCTCGGAAGCAGGAGTGGCATCCACTTCCACAATAACTTCCCTCTGAAAACCCTATGAACCTGGAGAAAGGACGAAAGATACAGGAGGTGTCCAGGACTTTGGTTCTTAGGGTCACTATGAGTCGCCTGCGACTCGACGGCACTTAAACAACATTGATGAGCTAAAGATTCAATAATATAAATAATAATATAAAGATTCAGATAATATAAAGAATTCTAGTGATTCACCAAAACACCCGTAAAAACAAATGTAAAAATAAGACAGACAGCTAATGACAGCGCTGCACCCACCACACCTCGCACCCTTGCTGAACCCATGCCCCTGGGGGTGTTGCCATTTCTCCCAGTCCCTCCACAACAGGTTTTGTCCACCTGCCCAGCCCCCACCCAAAGGGGGCAAAGGTCCCAGGTGGAGGAGGTGACTTGGATGTGTCCCAGAAGCGGGCAAAGGAGCCGGAAACAGGAACAGGAACTTCTCCCGGCCACTCAGATCCCCTGGGGCCCTCCCTTCCCTCCGCAAAGGCGCCCGGAGGCGGAGGCGGGGTCGCTGCTCAAGGCCACCCTGGCAGGGGTCCCGCCATTCCCGCCGGCTCAGTGTCCAGAGGAGAGGGCACGTAACAAGGCCACTGTGGTCCGTGGGTCCCGCCAGCAGAAGCGGCCTGTGAACTCCCCGACCCCGCTCACTCGGCGCTGTGCTCACCGGGCTCAGGGCTGCGCCGTCCGCCATCCGCACCCGCGCTGCTGACCCGGCGCTGCGCGTACCTTAGGGGCCTTTCCAAGGGCTCCTGGGCGTGCGCGAGCGCGGGCCGAGGCTGCGGGACACAGCGCGCGAGCACGTGACCGGAGGAGCGGCAACCCTTGCCCTTTAATCCTGAGAAGCCCGATGACGTAACAGGTCTACGTCGCCCCGCCCCTCGGGTCCCGGGAAGCGGCGTCCTGCGGGGTGCGGGTCTGAGCTCGAGCGCTTTGGCTTGCGAAGGGGTGTATCTCCTGCGATCTCTTAGGGTGAGAACGAGGCGAATAGAGGTCGCGTGCCCTGATCGCTCCCCTCTATTTGTGCCCTAATAGCCTCGCTAGACTCAGCATCAGCGCACATTTGCACTGGTAGCATCATTGTCCGAGTGGCTGGTGATTGTTGTTGTGTACCCGAGAGTCAGTCGACCCTCCAGCGCGTTTTCAGAGGCAGTTAATTACATGGAAGAAAATGGCCCATCCTTCTCCCGCCTAGTAAGGAATTGGATTACCAGTGCAAATGTGTGTGGTTGGAATCCATGAGATGCTCCACGAAAAAAATAATGAGCAATTTACAAATAGCTGTGCCTTTAAAAAATGCTAAAACCCGTTAGAGGATCAGCTATGAACCTACTCTTACTCAACAGCATATATATATTGTTGTAGTTGTTGTTATGTGCCGTCGAGTCGCCTGCGACTCATAGCCACCCTATGTACAATAGCCCTAAACTCTGCTCTGTCCTGTGCCAATTCACTGTCTCTGACACACCTAACTCCATTACCCCAGTCACTGAATCAATCTATTTCACTGAGGGTCTTCCACTCCTGTGCTGTCCCTCCCCCCTCCCAAGAATGACGTCTGTCCTTAAGGACTGGTCCCTCCTTGCAACATGCCCAAAGTATGTCAGATGAAGCTTCAGAATCTTTGCCTCCAAGGAACAGCCTTGTTTCACCTTCTCCAAGACGAACCTGTTTGTTCTCTTAGTATATTCAATACTCTTCCCCAGCACCACAGCTCAAAGGCATCAATTCGCCTTCGATCATCCCTAGTCACTGTCCAGCTCTCTAATGCATAGCATCTGGTTGCAAAGACCATGGCCTGTATCAGGCACACCTTAGTCTCCAGATTGACATCGTTGCTCTTCAGGATTTTGGAAAGGTCTCTGACAGCAGAGTTTACCAATGCAGTGTGTCTTTTAATTTCCTGGCTGCTGGTGCCAACAGTGTTGATCGTGGAGCCAAGCAAATTAAAGGTGTTAATCTCTTCATCGTTATCATGATGCTGCCAACTGGCCCAGTGGTGAGAACCTTTGTTTTCTTAAATGTTGAGCTTTCTTTGGGGAACCAAGACAGGAGGCAGAATGTGGTGCAGCAGAAAAGAAGTGGTATAGGCCGCAAAGCGAGGAGCAGGAGGCAGAGACTCAGCTTCCCCCACAAAACATGTGTATGCCCACGTCTCCCAGAAGCCCCCAGATCAAGGCAGACCCTGCAGTTCTTTGGGGATATAGATTAATATTATACTGTGTTATATCTGTCTATCTATGTATGTATGTATCTATCTATCTATCGTATAGAAGAATGGCGATCTGTTGTTCTTGTTATGTGCCGTCGAGTCGCTTGTGACTCATAGCGACCCTATGTACAACAGCCCTAAACTCTGCTCTGTCCTGTGCCAATTGCACTGCCTCCGACACTCCCATCCCAATTATCCCAGTCACTGAATCAATCCACCTCATAGAGGGCCTTCCCCTCCTGCGCCGTCCCTCCACCCTCCCAAGCATGATGTCCTTCTCCAAGGACCAGTCCCTCCTCACAACATGTCCGAAGTATGTTAGACGGAGCCTCAGAATCCTTGCCTCCAAGGAGCCACCCAGTTTAACACTTTCCAGGACGAATCTTTTTGTTTTCCTAGCAGTCCATGGTATTCTCAATACTCTTCTCCAGCACCACAGCTCAAAGGCATCAATTCTCCTTCTATCCTCCTTGGTCATTGTCCAACTCTCTGATGCTTAACAAGTGATTACAAAGACCATGACCTGTATCAGATGCACCTTAGTCTCCAGAGAGACACCATTGCTCTTCAGTACTTTGGAGAGGTCCCTAATAGCAGACTTTCCCATGGCAATGCGCCTTTTAATTTCCTGGCTACTGGTGCCAAGACTGTTGACTGTGGAGCCAAGCAAACTAAAGCTGTGTACAATCTCAATCTCTTCACCATCCATCCTGATGCTGCCAATTGGTCCAGTGGTGAGAATCTTTGTCTTCTTGACATTGAGCCTCAATCCATATTATAGGCTGCAGTCCTTGACCCTCTGCAGCAAGTGCTTCAGGTCCTCTTCAATTTCAGCAAGCAGGGTTGTGTCATCTGCATAACGCAGATTGTTGATTGGTGGATGATTGTCCACCAATCTTAACCCCACATTTCTCCTCATAGAGCCCAGCCTCCCAGATAATCTATTCTGCATATAGGTTGAAAAGGTATGGAGATAGGATGCATCCCTGGCGTACGCCCTTCCCAATTTTGAACCATGCAGTGTTCCCTTGCTCTGTTCTGACGACTGCCTCCTGGTCCAAGTATAGGTTTTGCATTAAAACGATCAAGTGTTCTGGGATTCCCATTCTTCTCAGAGTCAGCCACAGTTTGTTATGATTCACACAGGCCACTCAGAGAGGGGGTACAGGAGTCTGACCAGCTGAAAGCTGGGCGGCTTAAAGGCCCGTCACAGTCCCCGCCCATCTTCCCAGTCCCCGCCCATCTTCCCAGAAGAGAATGGCAATCTAGTGGGTAAAAAATTGCACTTTCACCTCAAAAGACAGGTAGTTCAAATCCAAATGCTGCTTCACAGGTGAAAGACTAACATTCTCCTCACTTGTCACTTACAGTCTGCAAACCTGCTGGAGTGTCAACTGAGTCAATTTCAACTCAATGGCAATGAGTTGTTAAGGTCGTTAGGTGCCATCAAGTTGATCATAGCAACCTTGTGAACAACAGATCTGAACCCTGACCTATCTTGTGCCGTCCTTAAAATCTCCGACACACTGGACTCCATTGCACCAATGAATGTGCCAATCCACCTGGTTGAGGGTATTCCTCTCTTTCACTGAACCAAATAATGGTATGCCTTTCCAAGAAATAACCTCTGTAACAACATGCACAAAGTATGAGATTTGAAGCTTCACAGTCTTTCCCTCCAAGGAGCACTCTGACTGCATTTTTTTCCAAGATGTGCTTGTTAGTTTATTTTCCAGTTCATAGGATATTCGGTACTCTTCTCCATCACAACTCAAAGGCATCAATTCTTCTTCCATCATCCTTATTCATGCCAATGAATATTTGTTGTTAGATACAGTCAAGTCGAGGACAACTCAAAGCAATCCTACGGACAGCCAACCTGAACCCTGCCCTTACCCTATGCCATCTCTGCAAACATTCACGCCCATTGCTAAAGGTACCATGTCAGTCCATCTCATTGTGGGTCTTCCTCTCCTTCGCTGACCTCCCTTCTTTCTGAGCATGATGTCCTTCTGCAGTGAATGGCGTTGCCTTTTTACATGTCCAAAGTATGAAAGAAGCTTTACCATCTTTACCTCTAAAGAGCAGTTTGACTCTCCCCAAGACGTATGTTTGTTCTTTGGCAATCCATGGGATATTCTGTACACTCCTCCAGCATCACAACTCAAAGGCATTATTTCTTACTCTGTCATCTTTATTCATTGTCCACTTCTCTGATGCGTAGCAGGTGATTGAGAAGATTATGGCTGAATTAGGTGCACCTTAGTCTTCAAATTGACATCATTGCTCTTTAGCATTCAGGGAGAGGTCTCTCTGGCAGCAGACTTGACCAATTCAATAGATCTTCTGATTTCCTGGCTGTTGGTCCAAGGGTGTTGATTGTTGATACAAGGAAGATGAAATCATTGACAGTTTCAATCCTTTCTACATCTGTCATTATGTTGACTGTTTGTCCTTGTGGTGAGAATATTTGTTTTCTTGATATTGAGATATAATCCATACCAAAGGCTCTAGTCCTTGATCTTCTGCAGCAATGCCTCAAGTCCTCACTTTCAGCAAGCAAAGCTGTGTCATCTGCGTAATGCAGGTTGTTGAGGGGTCTTCCTCTGATCCTGTTGCCGCAGTCTTCCTCATAGAGTCCAGTTTCTTGAATTACATGCTCAGCATACAGATTGTATAGGAATGGAGAAAGGATGCAACCATGACACACTCTTTGCTTAATTTTAAACCATGCAATGTTGCCTTGCTCTGTTTGCTCAACAGCCTTTTGGTCTAGGTATAGGTTTCAAATGAGCACTTTTAGGTAATCTGGAATTCCCATTCTTCTCAATGTTAGCAATAATTTGTTATGATCCACGCAGTCAAATGGCTTTGCAAAGTCAATAATACATTTACTTTCAGACATGATCCATCTGGCATCAGCACTGATGTCTCTGCTGCCACAACCTCTTCTAAATCCTGAATGGGTAGTGGTATGTATATATACATAGTATCTACTAAGTATTGATGTCTAAATTTCTTACGTACTTTACAAAATTTTGTTTCCTTTTTTGTTCCCTTGTTCCTCACTTGACATCTCCAAGAGGCTGTCTATGTATAAATCATTTTTATATTAATGGTTATCATTTTTATCCATATATATCCCTTTGTGAGTGAAAGAATAATTTAAGTTTCATCCATATTGTGCAGTTTTTCAGAAATTCTTGAACATTTTTTTTCAGTGATGCATAATACTTCAATGCATGAGTAGAAAACAATTCCTTTACCTATTCATTTATTGTTAGGCACTTAGGTTGCTTTCAATTCTTTGCTGTTATAAATTTTGTTGTTGTTTGTTACCGAAGAGTCAGAACCAACTCATTTCTGACCCTTC